TAGCTTTTATTATGTTGAGGTATGTTCCTTCTATTCCTGCTTTCTGGAGAGTTTTTATCATAAATGGATGTTGAATTTTGTCAAAGGCTTTTTCTGCTTCTATTGAGATAATCATATGGTTTTTATCTTTCAATTTATTAATGTGGTGTATTACATTGATTTGCGGATATTAAAGAATCCTTGCATTCCTGGGATAAAGCACACTTGGTCATGGTGTCTGATCTTTTTAATATGTTGTTGGATTCTGTTTGCTAGAATTTTGTTAAGGATTTTTGCATCTATGTTTATCAGTGGTATTGGCCTGTAGTTTTCTTTTTTTGTGGCATCTTTGTCTGGTTTTGGTATTAGGGTGATGGTGGCCTCGCAGAATGAGTTTGGAAGTTTGCCTTCTGCAATTTTCTGGAAAAGTTTGAGTAAGATAGGTTTAGCTCTAAGCAGGTATACTTTGATATACTGCTAAATTTTAATTTTTTTTCTGAGAAATAAATACAGATACAGGAAACCACATTAAGAGTTGTGTAGCTTGCTGATTTGTAGCTCTGTACACAATAGCTTTGTAATCACTACTTAGATAAAGAAATAGAAGTATGTCAGGCACCTTAGGAGCTGTATCATGTGCCTCATCTCAGTCACTGTCCTTCTCTTCTCCACGGGTAACCTGTATACTATCCTTTATAGTAATCACTTCCCTGTGTTTCTTTATGGCTCTATCACTCAGTGTTCATCTTTAGACTGTAGCGTTTAGACTTGTCCGTGTTTAAAACCTGCTTTTTCTTTTAAGTCTCTTAATTTATGGGTCATACCCCCCCCAACCCCCTCCCCACCGTTCCTTTCTGTTCGTTTCCTATCTGTGGCATGCATTTTCATGGCATGCTTTCTCAAAGATAGAAAGAAAATTTTAGTATTACCGTGGTTGTGATCCTCCAAAGGTCCAGTGATAGGACATGAACAGATATACAGTATATCTGTGACATTAAAATTTTATGAGGAGAGAGAGGATTGGGGAAAAATGTCTAAAAAGGCTCTTTAGGAGAGGTGGAAAAAGAAGTTGAGAAACACTCGTCTGTGGGACCTGAGCTGTTGGACCTGTAGTTTCTCTTATCTTGCATTTTGCTGACTGCATACTCCTGATGAGTTCAGGGAGTTCCTCTCTATATTTCCCTCAATTTGCAGATAAATCGAAAGACTTTTTGGTAAGAGTCTTCGTGGTTTTGTATTCTTTCCTTTAGTAGGACATGGTATTTTAAGATCACAGTCTGAGTGTTAGGTATGCTTATAGTTTCTGGACTGGCTTTCATTCTAGGCCTTTCCAAAGGACAGAGCAAGGCTCTCCTGAATTCCTACATATGTCCTATTCAAATTCATATGTTAATTGTCTTCCTTTTTAAGGCTGAATAATATTCTGCCTTATATAATAATATATCAGCATATGTATACACCATGTTTGACTTATTCATTCATCCATTGATGGACATTTTGGTTGCTTCCACCTTTGGGCTTCTGTGAATAATGCTGTTATAAACATGGGTGTACAATATCTGTTTTGAGCTCTTGCTTTCATTTCTTTTGGGCAGATACCCAGACTGTATGATAATTCTATGTTAATTTTTTGAGGAACCATCATACCATTTTCCACAGTGGTTGCACCAATTTACATTTCCATAGCAATGCACAGGGGTTCCAATTTTTCCACCTCCTTCCCAGCACTTGTTATTTTCTGTATTTTTGATGATAACCATCCTAATGGGTGTGAAGTGATAGTGGGTGTGAATTCGTTGTGTTTATTTGCTCTTGCATTTCTCCTAGTTTAGTCTTTGTTTCTAAAATGATTTTTTTATTTCTAATGTCTCTTGTGTTCTGTCACCTCATTCATGAGTTTTAAAGTTCTGATATATGTTACTTTTTTATGTCTTATATTTTAAAGTCTTGTAGCTTGTTTTAAAATAGTATAATTTGATCCATTTTTGGTGCATGTTTTCTATAAGTGTTCTAAAATCTTATTTGAATACAGGAATATACTTTTGTGTAAAATAATACATGCCATTAAAAATAAGTATATTTTTGAAGATTTAGGATGCTGAAACAGTTTTGTGTTGGTTGGCATTTGAAATAATTGCACTTTATTTCATTAATTCATACATACAGAATATCTTCCATGTCTATGACATTGTATTAAGTATACATAGGTATTATAGAACCGTAGTATCCTCAGGAGCCATATATACATTACAATAACCAAATTTTTATTATCAGATCACATTCTTGCAAGTGGAAATAAATATGTAAAATGCTATTTTAACAGACCAACATATATCTGCCACATTATTGTAAGTAGAACTGTAAAGTACTTAATAATGACCTTAATTTTCCCCCTTGCACAGGAATGAAGGTGGCTTCTTGTCCCTCCTTAGTTTATCGCCTGCTCATAAGAATACTTGGCAGTGGACATTTGTGGTTTAGGTCTGGTTTTGAACCTCCTTTCCCAGTCATGTTCTGAGGGAAAAAAAAGTTAAGAAGACTGTTAATGGGCTCTCAAAAAACCCTGAAATGGAGTACTGAAATGAAATACTCAGTTGACAATGTGCTTAGTCCCTCAGCCATGTGCAACTCTTTGTGACCCCATGGATGGTAGCCTGCTTCCCTGTCCATGGGGATTCTCCAGGCAAGAATATTGGAATGGGTTGCCACTCCAGGTCTGTTTTGCTTACCCTTTAATAACAGTGGTCTTATTAAAGACTTGATATGCTTTTCCCTTAAGTTGAATATAGCAAACTGCTTAAAAACTATCAGTAATACTTTTGTATGGTTATTTGTTTCAAGCGGATTTTGGAGTATCAGCTAAAAACACAAGGACAATTCAAAGGAGAGATTCCTTTATTGGCACACCCTATTGGTATGTATTCAGTTTTATGGATTTGCTGCATTAGTTATGTCAGCAGTTATTATATGTTAATTTTGTCCACATGTTTGATTATACTGTCTTATCTTTTATGTGGTTTGTGATCACCATTTTAAGTTAAACATCTTAATTTTCAATTCTCTGTCTTCACAGGATGGCTCCTGAGGTAGTTATGTGTGAAACATCAAAGGACAGACCCTATGACTACAAAGCTGACGTTTGGTCCCTGGGTATCACTTTAATAGAAATGGCTGAGATAGAACCACCTCATCATGAATTAAATCCAATGAGAGTGCTGCTAAAAATAGCAAAATCTGAGCCCCCTACATTAGCACAGCCATCAAAATGGTAAAGTATTCCTTAACAAAACTTTTTAAGAAGAAAAATTTGAAGCTTTATTCTTCCAGCTTTCCAAGGGTATTTAAACTTAGATACATGGTTGTATGAAATAGAAAACTGATACTGGTGTATTTTTGAGACTTAAGGATCATATAAACTCTTATAATTAACTTTCCCCATCAATTTGAAAATAGCAGTGATTGGAGTTCTACATGAAAAAGTATTTTCTGTGAGAAGCTAAGGCATATATGTGATCTTTATTTGTGGAGTTTAATATAATGGAAGAATTTTTGTGATTTTTAGCTTTCTTATGAACATTTGACTGTATCTCAATGACTTAACACTATAAGTCTACTTACATATATGTGACTTGTATTTATAAATGAATGACATGAATATTAATAATCTCATGAACTAGTTTTATATTGAGTTACTACTGTTACATACATGATAGAACTTAACCATGGTTTCTCATAGTTTTGATTTTAATAACAAGAAAATATAATAGAATGTCATTAAAATTTTATTTTGAAGGTCTTCAAATTTTAAGGACTTTCTAAAGAAATGCTTGGAAAAGAATGTGGATTCCAGGTGGACTACATCTCAGCTACTGCAGGTAAAATAAGAGTAGTATGACAGTGGCAAACCATATAACTGTTGTAACATCTCTTTAAGATGAATACAAGATATATTGTAGTAGGTAAACATTTACTTTATAAACATGTGCTCCCCTTACTAAGAGGCATTTATTTAGCTTTTAAGTAATTTCTCCTATGCTTTTCTGATTCAGTTTGTGTTTTTTTTTCATTTTGTTTAGTTATTTCCACTTTGTCAATCACTTCCATTCAGTTTCTCCATTACTAGAAAACAAGCACCTTGGTGACAGGGGCTGTGAGCTAATTTTCTTTTTAGTGTCTCTTACAATGAGGGTAAATGTTCAGTAAATATTGCTAACTTTAAGTAAAAATGGTGTTTAAGTGATTGAATAATTTTGTTTTATAGCAGGACTTTTAATTTTGTTTGTAATATATGGAATAAAATTTTTTTTCAAACAGTGGTACAGATAGACAAGTAGAATGACAAATCTTGAAGCAGTCACTGTTAGGTTGAGTTATTGTACAACTCCTCCATTATAGTTTTTCAGGTTGCTATTTATCTGGAGGGAGAAGCAAGAAAAATTGCCTTTCTGTCTGTACAACACATATAACCGTGAAATGCATTTTCTCTTGTTTCACTTCCTCTACACTGGAAGGCCTCAGTCTGTGACAAAGGCTAAGTGCAGAGTACAGAGATGAATAAAATATCTTCTTACTCTTAAAAACATTAGAACTATTTAAAAAAAAAAAACAGGTGTTTATAGACACTTTTAACAGATCTCTAAAGCTTTTTGTAGTTATTTTATTGAGGTTTTGTATGAGATGTAAGCATACTATTACTTTTTAAGAACTAGTAATGTATTTGCAACTTGGTTTAATTTTAATTTAGATTTTAGGTTATGAAATTTTCAGACATACAGCAGAGTACATGAAGCTATTACCCAGAAGTAATGTGTTATCATTTCTGACATATTTCTTTCAGATTCTTAAAAAACATGTGCAGATAGAGTTGCAGGCAGCCCCTATTCCTGTTCAGTTCCCTTCCCCGCTGTCTTATCCCAGATGTATTACTATCATCTGAAGTTGTTTGTATTTTTCCTATTTACATGTCAGTGTTTTTACCACATGATGTGTTTTATATATATATGAAACTCACTCCATAAGCATTTCAGTTGTTACTGAATGTGCTCTTTTTAATGATCAAACAGCATCCTTTTGTGACCGTTGATTCCAACAAACCAATTCGGGAGTTGATCGCAGAGGCAAAGGCTGAAGTTACAGAAGAAGTTGAAGATGGCAAAGAGGAGGATGATGATGAGGAAACAGAAAATTCTCTGGTCAGTATTTAAAAAGCAGATTGTGTTTTGGTAATTTTTAGAGTTGAGTTTTGAGTTACGATTGCACGTGTGTCTAAGAATTAATTGATTGGATTGTTGTTGTTTAGTTGTTAAGTCATGTCCAACTCTTTGGCAACCCCATGGACTGTAACCCATGAGGCTTCTCTGTCTGGGATTTCCCAGGCAAGAATACTGGAGTGGGTTGCCATCTCCTTCTCCAAAGGTCTTCCCAACCTAGGGATCAAACCTGTGTCTCCTGCATTGGCAGGTGGATTCTTTACTATGGAACTACCAAGGAAGCCCAATTTATTGGGTAGCAATACAAAAACCTTTAATTTAGAGGTGAGGATTTATTAAGTTTGCTCCTTGCTTTCAAGTTTGCGCCTTGCTATCCATTTTTGTCATATTTATTATGTGAAGATTTGTCAGCTCTTTAAATTATTTTTATAATTTTATCAAATTTTACTGAATAAAAATATTAAATCACTATATATATGAATTCATCGTTTATATATAAATATACACACATATATATGAAATATTGTTTTGGTCACCATCTTGAAATTACGGTTTTAACACTACAACTGTATAAAATCTTTTTTAGCCAATACCTGCCAGCAAGCGTGCCTCCTCTGACCTGAGTATTGCCAGCTCTGAAGAAGATAAGCTTTCACAAAATGCTTGTATTTTGGAATCTGTCTCAGAAAAAACAGAACGTAATACTTCTGAAGATAAATTTAACAGTAAAATTCTTACTGAAAAACCCACCGGTGATGAACCTCAAAAGGTTGTGGTGGGTCCTGATGAACATGTTAATGATACTCATTTAGAAGCTATGGCTGAACTTCATAATAAAGCAGCAGTAATTGAGGAAAATGGAAGAGAAGAGAAGAGACCCAAGCTTGAAAATCTTCCTGACACAGAAGACCATGAGGCAGTGGACATTAGTTCAGTCAGTGAAGGAAAGGAAAATAACATAATGATAACTTCAGAAACAAATACTGAACAGAGTCTGAAACCTGAAGAAGAAACAGATCAGGAAAAGCAGCAGATATTTGAAAATAAGTTTATAAAACCTGAAGAAATTGAAGATACTACTGTCCAAGCAATGGATTTAGTTTCTGAAGAGACTGGAGAAAAAGAGGCAGATATTCAGGCAATTGAAAATGAAGTTGAGTTTACAAAGGAAGATACCCAAGAGAAATTGGGAAAAGAGGACAAAACTGAAAAAGATAGAATCAGTGATACAAGCAAAGTGATAGCTACAAATGAGGCAGAAGTTGCTCAGAGGGCAACTGAGAACGGTGCTGAGGATGCTCAGCGTGGTGATGGGAAAGAAGTGGGTGACGTGGGCCAGACATTAGCGATCAAGCCCACAGAGGGTCCTGAGGCTGGTGGTACTGAGAAAGTTTCTGTTGAAGAAAGAGTTGAAACTAATGAGACAGACAAAAAATCTATAGATGGTAAAGGTGAGGAACAACTAACCAGCAGTTCAGAGAACACATTGGAGACCAGTGAGGAAGTCAGGACAAATGAAGTTGAGATAACTGAATCAAGTGGCACTGAAGGAACAGAGGTCAGAAGTGTAGTGACCAACACTGACCAGAAAGCTTTAGAAAGTGAAACTCCGGATGTTCATAAAGCCACTACTCAGGTGGACACAGAGCAAAAAGAAATTCCATGTGACATACCAGTTAAAGCAGAACCTCAAGTTACTGCCACTTCACAGCCCACTGAACCTCAGCCTGTTCCAATACCCAGTATTAATATCAATCCTGAAGATGCAGAAAATAAAGGAGAAATAGGTGCTTTATCAAAAACTGAAACCATGTTACCAGAATCTGAGAATCAAAAGGAAAATGATACTGATTCAGGCACTGGTTCCACTGCTGATAATAGCAGCATTGACTTGAATCTCTCCATCTCTAGCTTCCTAAGCAAAACTAAAGACAGTGGATCAATATCTTTACAAGTAAGTGTATATGGGTCCTTGTTTGGATTTTTCTTTGTCATTTTGGCAGTTGAGAGTTTATGTAAAACTGATGACTTTCAAACAAACCAACACTAAATCAGCATAGTATTAACCCTGTAAAATTCTTCAGGGCTATGAGAGCAATCAATTAAAAAAAAAACTACATCCAGAGATTGTGGATGTAATCGTTAAATTTTTTGGTAGTACCTACGTATTTTTGCCAACTCTTATATAAATAGTATAATAAGTTGCTTACTGGAATTTGGGTTTTCCTGCCGCATATCTCTTGGTATAATTTTAGCAAAAATCAGTAATATATGAAAGAATAGAGGGCTTATAAGAATGATCTCTTTTAAAAAATGTTTAGGATTTAAACATCCCTTGATTTACTACTGGCCATGCAGATGACCACTCTTAACTCCTCAGTCATAGCCATAGATACTGCCGTGTAAATCATTGTGGGAAAACCAAACCAAACACTAAAACCCAGAATACTTGGAGCTGTTAGAGCATAATTCCCCAATCTGAGTGTACTTAAAAAGGTAATCATTAGGGAGAGCTATGTAGAAATATGGAGTGAGGCCAGAAAATCAGTGTTTGTAACAAAAGATCCCATGGAATTCTGATACAAGTGAGCCATGGACTGCTTAGAGACTCTGATTGACAGGTGGCAGAAAAGCAGGAACTTAGAACTGACCTTAGGGTAGGAGTCCAAGGCATGACTGATCCACCTGCCTATCTGCCCCAGATTATTACTACATGTATTGCCTAGATGGTTTTCAGTTTTCAGTTTATTTTGTTTCAGTGCCTGAAACTCCACTTTTCTGAAGTTCATTTATAGACTTAATTGTTACAGTTGGCCTTTCCAAAAAAAAACAAAAACAAATATTTCTGTGAGAATTAAGGTGACATTAATTGTGGATGCGTAGGAACTGAAGAAATGGAAAATTTGGAGGTTCCAAGGAGGTAGCTTAATTTTGGAGCATGCCCACTTTAGGTTTTAGAAGATGTCTGGATAGGGTGGCCATAGTCCAGGGCTTAGGGGAGAGCAGTGTGAAGATACTGGAAACCTAGAGAGTAGAACAGTAAGAGGGTGAAGACTGCAAAGTGCCAAAGACCAACTTAAAAATTCTAATGCCTTTTAAATGTAGTATTTTCACATTCTCCTTTTGATCCCTCTGCTTTCTAACCATTTCCACCTATCACAACTAAGTAATTACTAAGTTATTACTTAGTTATCTGTTCTCAGTATTTACATGTGTACCAAGATGTGTTTATAGCAGTGTTACATACTTCTGTTATTTCTCTTTGCCTTTAAAAAACATTTGGATACCAGTTGAGGAATGAAGAGTTTGATCTTGATAAAGAGTTTCAGGCAGTAGCTAGCTGGCAGATCTGGTACTTTGGGTGGTGTAGTGGAGGTGCTGTCTTTCTAGTAACTCTAAAATCACTCCTCCACCTCTGACCCTGAAATGAAGGAGGGCTGGTGATATTATTGTTGTTGATTAAATGAATTTTGAATCTCAGTTGTGGCAGTGTTTTAAGGTTATCTGAGAGCCTTTTCAAAATAAAAGCCTCAGCCTTTTGAGACTTGCTGATTTAGATTCTTTTGAGGGATGCGCCCCAGAAAATCATTTTTAATGGCTTTGTAAGTGTTTCTGAAACAGAAAAACAAAGGTGTCTGAGAACCTATAAGGTAAAAAGAGGAAGAAAGGATGGTTAACATGTAAAGATTGTGCTAATTACTCATTTTTGTGAATTGGTCATTACTGCTTGTGCCTAATTGTGATGTGGTATCATAAAAATTATACATGCATATCATCAAAATGCATAATTTCATTTGAAAAAAGATTGATTTCATCTGTAAAGTGTGAAAATCAGATGAGGTGTATTTGGCATAGTTGGTTTAAGAGATGTCTTACTGCTTTCTGTTCAGCTTTGTAAGTGTAGTCCTCTTCCCCCCCCCCCATTTATTTTTATTAGTTGGAGGCTAATTACTTTACAATATTGTAGTGGTTTTTTCCATACATTGATATGAATCAGCCATGGATTTACAAGTGTTCCCCATCCCGATC